TTTGCAGTTGGAAGCCTTCAGAAAGACGCTCATGAGGTCACTCCAAGATGATGAAGGAAACCCTGTGAGTGAATGAGTTCTTTTGATTTTCAGCTTAAGCTCCTCAGATCCGTGTATGTAGGGCATACACTTCTGATATAATTGTATATCTGGACTTGGATTGTTTCTTTATGGCTTAAATGTTCAGTTACTCATTTTCAATTCTTTTCCACATAGGCGAGTGTTCCTAAGGCTGCTCCTGTGCATATGGCAAGCAATAATGGTTAGTACTTTAATTTCCTGGTGATTGCAACTTATGTCATGTTTTGCTAATAAACACTTAGTAATCTTTTAACAGACGATGCTGCCTTACCACCAAGCGGAACAGCTTCTATGCAGAGCCAATTTTCAGATTCCGGAAGTTCAAATGCAGGGGGCGCTGAGACTGAAGGTGTGCCTCACTAATTTCAAAGTTTCTACATAATGAAGAAAATCCCTTTAGCATGAATGTTTTTGTTGCTTAACGGGATAATTATAAAAGTTGCCTCTGAGGTTTAACCTAAATACAAAAAGATTCAACATTCATCTTCAGGGTATAATAAATCAAAGGTGCAGTATTTATTGCACGCACATGTCGCTCACATATGTTAAGGTGTATTTGCAGTTCTGTAGGTGATCTGATCTTTTCTTTCTTTCTTTCTCCCCTTTTCTATTTTTTTTTTCTTGTTTTGTTATTGTTTTGTTATGTATAACTAGTACGAATCCCGTGCGATGCACGGGTAAGAGATATTCATTAATATTTGTAAATTAAATGATCATTAAATAATATCTATAAGTTAAAATATGAAACCAATATGTAATACAATTTACATATATTAATTTATTTAAAATGTATATGAAATTTAAATTGTGCAAAATAAAATATGTCTATTTAAAATTAGTATACAACCCGTACGATGCACATATCTGATAAAATTTTTCATTATATTTATTTCAAAATAAGTGTCATTTTAAAATTTTTATTTTGAAATTCTACTTGAATACAATGTGGTTCTATAAAATAATTATTTTGGTAGAATCTTATTCTATATTTTTAAATTTATGTGAATAATCACGAATGTACTATATGTGTTGTCTCCGATTTTAATAATTCCTAGTGCTTGTTGCATACAAACAAATTTTAGTAAATCAGATAGATTTGATTTTTGTGATTTTATTTATTTTTGTCAACAAATAATTTCTAAACCTTTTCAACTATATCAATAATGTGTTAAATAGATCCTACCCTTAAATAAGCGCTAATCTAATCAATTGGATAGTCACTAATATAATCAATGTGTTGCTTAAAAACTCAGATTTAAATAGTTCCTAATATAATTCTGGATTTTAATAATTCTTACCGTAATCAATGTGTATTATTTGAAATATACCTTGTTAAATTAATTTCCTTAAATAATGAGCTTGTTAAATTAATTTCCCAAAATAGTAAATAGTTTTTTTTTGGAGCGAAATAGTTACTATTTAAAAAATAATCAAACATTTTTTTATATATATAGATTTGTCTGATTTCAATGGTAGCATGTGTGGGCCGATTTCGTAGATTATTTCTTCCAAGCTATTCGTTCAAGCTGTCAAGTGCATGAGTTTCTGTTTTCTGACCTTTTCTTTCACTGTCATTACAGTCATGAAGCCTCGTGTATCTCATGTCCTGTTGCTTGCTTCCCAGACGAGCACGCCTCGGCTAACTCCTTCTGGTTCCCCTCCAAGTCTCTCTGCATCTGTTTCGCCTTCAAGGACTCCCAAACCCTTGTCCCCAAGGAGACACTCAATTTCGTTTGCAAACTCAAGAGGATTTTTTGATGATAAATCTTCCGGTTTTTCTTCTGTGCCTTCAAGCCAGTTCAGTTCCATGTCGAGCTTGGAGTCAGGATCACAACCAGGTTAGTTACTGTTCAAGAATAGATAAAGCTTACAAGCTGTTATAAAAATATTGATCAATTTCTTATGTTTTACTTCTTTTTCCTTAGAAAGATGTTATATGCTCCAGATTTAGGTTTGACGGGCATTGTAGGTCGTTTCCAAAAGTCGAGAGATCCTACTGTTTTTCTCTCAAAAAAATTATAGATGATATGTAAACTTTAGCGACTTCAGTTACAAAATTGTCATTACTGACTGCTTCCATGCGTGATCACCATGCTCTATCTGTAACTCTCAACAATTTTATTTTATGGCATCATCATATGAGAGGGGATATCTATAATAATCTTTATCGGTGCATAAAATTGCTATATTTATTTTTGACAATTGATAGATGGCAGGGGCACTAACAATTTGCAACAAATTTGTTCTTATGTCAGGGAAAGCCCGAGTTGATGGAAAAGAATTCTTCCGCCAAGTCAGGTAATTTATGCTTCTAATGATACATTCTGAATATGTGGATGTTATTAGCAGTTACTTTCATGAATACAAGTTCCTCAGAAACTTTATACTTCTCTATGCAAATTTCTCTCGACTTGTTCCTCAGAAAACTTAAGTTTCAAGCTATTTGCGTAGAGTTTTGCTTCCCTGTTCATGAATTCGGTCCAAGGTTCTTGCGAATGTACCTCATCTAGGGATTCTTGTTCTTATTGATCAGAACCAGGCTATCATATGAGCAGTTTGGGGCATTTCTAGCAAATGTAAAGGAACTTAACTCCCACAAGCAAACAAAAGAGGTATGTGATTAGACAAGGGTGAATGATAATAATTTTTTTTGCCATCTCCCGAAATTTTTTTATCTAGTCTTCTTGTGACCATTTTGATGAGTTTCTACTTTACTTTTAATGGATCATAATATGATTTTTAATAAATCAGAATGTGTATAACATGTGTTGGTGTATGCATAGTTTGTAGTGCTTTCGGAAAAATGTGAAATGTTGTGTATTTTACAATTTTTTTACAGCTCCTACTGAACTTTAAAGTAGGATACATCGACACATCTAAGTTCACTATACGTCGATATTATATACTTGTATTTTGTACCGTGCATGTGCACGAGGTACGTGAAAAACATAGGTTGTGCATATGAAATGAAATAATTAAATTAAGTGATTATCCAATGATATGTATAACATCATATAAAATTGATAATTACATCAAAAACTTTTAAAATTTTAAAACTCGGTTTGAAAGTGAATAATATGAATACAGAATATTTACCATTGACTTACCGCTATTTTAATAGCTATTGTTATATAAATATAATGAATAATATAAGGTTTTTATTTGATATTATACTATTTTTAATCATAAAAATATCAGTCAAATTGTCTAGGAGTTTCAAGTGGACAATATAGATCTATAACATTGACATGGATTAATCACTTTTTAGAAATTATATTGAGTACTCCCTCCTTTTTTCGTTTTGAGAAGTTGCACACTAATTAAGATTATTTTTTTTGTTAATAATAACCCTCATTAATGAGGATAGAGATGAATGTTTTGAGAAAAAATAAAGAGAATATGAAAAGACGTAGTGTATTTATTAGCTAGATAAGGGTAATAATGGAAAAATATGTACAATAGACCCAAAATGTCATTTATTTAGTCAATTGTTGATAAAGCTAAAATGACATTTATAAAAAAAAAAGGAGGTAGTATATTATTTTGTATTTTATGCATACAACATGAGCGTGGATTGGAGATAAAAAAAAATATGATTAATGAAATATGTTGAACAACAAAAAAATGGATAAAAATATACAGGAGTTATTCAACTTTAAAATAATTCTTATTCTCATTTAATAATTATAATATTATGATTTTGCAATCTTAATAGTATATTTAACTTTTCAAATGGTAATCGTAATGTAGTCCAATTTATGATATTGTTTACACTATCAAGCTAAGAAAGATGACAAATAGCTTTTATGTCGATTCATTTTTCTTGAAAGATTGATCACTAGAAGATATATTTTATAATATTTTAGAAAAAAAAAGTTGGTCAATTAAGATATAGATATTTAAATCTTATTCCAAACAGTCATTAAAAAAAGTGCAGAAGGAAGTTTATAGGGTTTAATGCACCAAAACCCCCCTGTATTATACTAAATCTGCGCGTTTCCCCCTTCTAATTTAAAAATTGCGTCATACCCCCTTCTATTAAGGTTTCAGGTGCACACACTCCCTTGTCTCTATTTCTCCTTTAACCCCTTCTATTAAGGTTTCAGGTGCACACACTCCCTTGTCTCTATTTCTCCTTTAACGGCGTTAGTTTTCCTTCCAAAGTCCCGTTATACCCTCTGAATATTATACATATATTTACGATATATTGAATATATCGCGAGAAATTAAATTATAAAAAATTACAGCCATTAGGATTCGAACTTGGTACCTCATGGGAGCAAGACAAGCAATGCAACCACTACACAACTCAAGGTTGAGTGTTAGAACTAGGAATGTTGGATATATATGGACATTGTTATGGATAAGTGAAATTAAATTTAGAATATATAAATTATATTAAATTAAATTATTAAAATATAAAGTTATGGTAATTCAAATATAATAAACTAAATTATATAAAATTAAACGAAAAAAATAATTTAAATAACTTATTATGTTAAACGAAAAAAAAAATAATTAAAATAAATAAATATAAAAAAATTGTAGTTAAATAATAAATAATATAATAATTAAGTAAATCTATATATTTATAAAAGATTTTAAAAAATATTAAATAGTATAAAAATAATTAAAATAAATAAATACAAAT